AGTCCTTCACTTTGCCCATGAGGATTTTGTTTGAAGCACTGTCAAAAGCCTTGCTAAAGATAAACAACCTCCACTGGTCCAGTGCTGTGAATTAAACTGATTAGGAAACCTGCCCTCCGGCTATGAACAGAAGCTGTCAACTCATGCAAAATGAGTGCTCACCATGTGTATCACAGCATTGTTTCAAAGATCTCAAAATCCTTCTTGAAGTCAATTAAAATGCTGTCCCTCTTCACAGAACTGGTAAAGTAAAGCATGAGTAAGTCAAGTGAGTTGCCCAAGGTTGGTTTGCAAAGTCTGACTTGTGCAGCAATACCTCCAGGGTCAGATAAGATAGCAAGTGGAGGGAAACTGAGGAGGACAGAAGGAAAATGGACACTCCTACCAAGGCAGACCCTGTACTACTTCAAGAGACGTGCCGAAAGATTTTAAAAAGCCCCACAAAATAACCATTTGACCAAAGAACTGAAACAGAATACTGTCTGTTCTTGAGGCTGTTTAATGTTGAAGAAAGATGTTTCCCAGCAGTCTTAAGGTAAACTTTAGCTGTAAGTCATTTGGGATGCTTTTGTGTCTGATAATGGAAACCTCACTCCAGTTCACAGTTCTCCTTGTTCCAGGCAGCCCAAATTCCAGTCACAAAGGCCATCCTGGCTCCTACATGGGGGGGGGGCAGTGAAAGCCATGCTTTGCTGCAGCAGTATCCCCATCTCTGGAGATGATGGGTTGCCTTGAAGTTTTAAGGATCAGCAAAGCAAGCTGGCTTTTTTCCCCCTGAAGTTACAGATGTCCTGCTGTGGGGGATTAATGCCTTTCAGTTCTTCCCTTGTTACAGGAGCATTAAAGTCAGTGGTGGTTGTGGCAGATGCACCCACCCCACTAAAGACCTGAGAAAGACCCAACAAAAGCAGTGTTAAAGTTTCTGGCCCTGGCGGCACCACGACTGCCTCCCCTTCACAGCTCATGTCTGGTCCACACAGTGGGGGTCAAAGGCGGGAAAGTCGGGGTCCTCAGTCAATAGGGGGTGACACGACCATGTACTGACCACAGATCAGATTCGACCAGGGTATAAATGGGGCCCCGTTGGAGGACATTGGAGTCGGTCCTCCTTGGAGCAGCAGGTCTGCAGTCAGGGGAGACTCTCGTCCTGAGTTGGGATGCCACTTAAGGTAACTTCTTGAAACTGAGAGCCCTCTCTCTTTAGGTGAGTGAGTGAGTGCACATTTTGGATCATTTGGCCAAAAACTTAAGAATTCTTGACTCAGCTGTGTCTAGTAATAAGCCCAACCAGCATATCGAACCTGTATTTGTTAAATGTCAGTGGAATGCTGTTTTGGTGAATGAAGTTTTGTCTGCTTAATTTCAGTTGCAGATTAAAAGTTTGACTTCATTATCTGTGTGTGTGTAGCCATTTTGGTGCAATTCCGTGACAGTGGTCTAGAGCAGGAAAAACTGGTAGACCAAAAAGCTGTGCTAGCTGAGCTGGCATATTCCCCGGCAGAGTTTGTAGTAAAGTCTGAGAGCTGCAAGGGAAGATTGATGTGTGGGGTAAAGCCAGGGAAGATGGCTTCTGCATGGAAACAGTGAGAGCATCATCCTGGCCCCATGCAGCTCATAGCTCATGTGGAGACATCTCCCTGACAGTGCTAGGAATGTCTGGCAAACCTGCAAGTGTTTCTTTGCTTTCTTGCTGGACGCCAGCCATTATTCCAGTGAGGACACATTTAGGAAATCCTAAAAATGAGCATAAGTGAAAAGCGGAAGATATGCAGATTTCCCTTTAGAAAAGTTATGTTACTATTTTTCTCATCTATGTAAACCAGACATCCAAAGATGTCTGATGAGGGTCTGATAAGATGCTGAGAAATCACTGCAAACCAAACGCTTCTAAAATTGCAGGTCTTTTTTTTTTCAATTAGACACAACAGATAGAATATGATTAACCCCAAAAATGCCAGAAACAGGTAGCAGCTGAGAAAAGTTAATGAAAACTGGAACCACAAAGAGTCATTGGCATGGACACATCTAAGGGGCAAAGGAGGTAAATGCACAAGCAGAGAAGTAAACTGAGGCCCTCCAGTGCCTGAGCAAATTTTTTATAAAGAGAGGCAAGGAAAAGAAAAGAATATTGACCTGGAGGGAGTAACCTGTGAGAGGAATGATTTCATGGGAGCTGGGTCATTATCCCCCATGCTGGCAGCACCTCAAGGACTTTGGGTGTGCTGGACTGGAACAACTAGGCATTTTGTCATTAAGTATAGGCTAGAACTGCTTTTATATTTATTTTACTTGCAGATAATTGTTTTCAAAACTTTGTCTGACCTTGATGAATGTTTTCTTTTTAAGCTTGCTGGGGGATGTTCTGAGGAGGGAGTCATTTAAGGATGGAAAATGGTAAACATTCAGGAGAGTTACAGTAATTGTGTCTTTGCCCTTTTCGTTTCTCCACATGAAGCAGAGCTTGCTTTAGTGGTCTGAAATTCAGAGAAGATTTGCAAGGGCAAAGTGTCTTTGCTGAGTGTGCCCGAAGTCCCTTACAGCACTAAGACTTTCCCATTTGAAGTTGCTGGGAGTTTCCTGTGGTGATGCTGGGTGGTGATATGATGGTGGTGATGATGCTTTCTAGCAAGGTCCTACCCCAGAGCACTGTCCTTCCTCACTATCTCAGGAAGATGTGGATCTACTGCTCACTAGGCCAAGTGCATGAGCACAGAAAGGCTTTAATGTCACTCTGGGACTCTGCAGGGAAACAGAAGGAGAAGCTAGGCACAGTGCTGTAGAGAAAAGATATCTCCAGATTTAGTCATCTGCCTTTTAGAGCCAATGGGTGGGATGGTCTTTGAGTAGGATGCTCACTGTGGCATGAAGACGCTGGCGTTTCGCTCTCATCTGGGCCACGCAGCAGGTCCGTGCGCTTATGTAAGTGCACTATGCCAGCTTTGGTCTGCTCCACACAGAGGGCCATACGGGTCCTCAAACTAGGTCATCCCTAAACCTTGCAGGGGAGTACACTTGAATCGGCATACAGCAACTGTGATTTAAAAGGAGCCCAGTTCTTCTGGCACTACGGTAATGATAGCTTTGGTGTCTCCCTTAGCTAAGCACAACCTCACATGCTCCCACTCAAATCGCTGGGGTGTGAAAGACCTCAGACATAGTTAATGATAATTCTTTTAATTTTCAAAACAGATTTTTCCCCTTTTCTAGACACGTGTTGTAATTAATATTTCATGAGAGTCTCTAGAGGTACAGGAAAGAATTTCTAGTCTTGGTTTAGCAAAGCATATGAACAGGACTACTGTGTGTGGGAAGAGTGCTCAGGTGTTTCCTAACTCTAGGCCAAAGCATAAAGTTGTGTGATACTTTTCTGATGAGCAGCAGAATCTCCACCTTGCTGCGGATGGGTATTTTAAAGGAGCTGGATGCTCCCCATGGGAAGTGATTATCAAAGGCATGTCTAGAGCTTAGGGCTGCCAGTTCTCCTCCGGAGCCACTGCACTTGCCTTGGTAGAGCTCAGGGTGACACGTGGCTCCACGCTGAGCTTGCTGTGACCATGCGTGGTGGCACTAGCAGAGTTTATTGCCTTGTGTATGCACAGGGTGTTCAGCTCGTGCTGGAAGCAATTCACCGAGCAGCATATGGTTTTCACCCTTAACAGGTCAGTTGGCTGTTGGAGGGTATTTTGGATATGTCAGTAAATATCTTCACTACAACAGTGCCAGGTTCTTCCACGTGCAGTAGCTTTCTCAACCACTTTGTAAAGGTTCTGTGGTGAGGGCCTGCCCAGACCATGATTC